AACTTTTCGAGGGAAGAGAGGGGAAATCCCAGTGATCTTCCAAATTCTCTTAAATATGATGGGAAAAGTAATTGGCAATCATTCAAACATAAATTTGAGAGCTATAAAGAAGTGTATGGTTGGTCCGATATTCAATCAAAAGACTATCTAACATGGAGTCTAGAAGGAAATGCTCTAGACTACTACACACGCCTTATAAAATCGGGTAAAGACTTCTCATATTTGGAAATTTTGCAGAAGTTGGAAACTCGGTTTAGTGATGAAGTTTTGCCTGAAATTGCCCGGGTAGAATTTCAACACTCTTACCAACAACCAAATGAATCTCTCGGTGATTGGGCAGCAAGGGTCCTTTCTCTAGCAATGTCAGCCTATGTGGATCTGCCAGAATCTTTCATTAATAAAGAGGCAATAACACAATTTTGTTTAGGTTGTTCAGACTGGGAGGCTGGAAAGTATGCTTGTTTAGAACTACCAAAAAGCATAGAGGCTGCTTTAAACAAGGTGAAATATTATCAGCATGTTTCTTTACTCTTCGAAAACAGAAAGAAAGAAAGTGTTAAATCTGCTGAAGTTCCACCTGTGCACAACCTTGAGCAAGTAGTAGAAAATGTGTTGAAATTAGCAACACCAATTTTGAGTAGAAGACAAACCTGTTTCTTCTGTCATAGCCCAGATCATTTTAAAAGGGATTGTGAAAAACACAAAATTTGGGTGAGAAAAAATAAGGGGAACACTTTGAGAAATTTTACTCAACCTCACCAGCCTAACAGCCATGTTGCTACACGAATGGATGTGCATGTTAACAGCATAAGTGAGATTACTAATCCACTTGAATCCAATCACAAAATTGGCAATCCTGTACCTCAGTTGTCAACAAACGCCTGTAACATTTCTATACAAACAAGTGAAAGTGAACTAGATCTTCTAGGAGCTGTCACTAAAACACCTAACCCAGCTGAGCGTGCAAGAAAAAAACCAATTAATAAGAGAGATCAAAATTTAACACCAAAAGCTCCTATTCAACAGACTGTTGCTTCAAATTCTTACGTAAAACTTAAGCTTGGAGGTTTACCAATCCATGCCCGAGTTGATACTGGGTCGGAGGTCACCATTCTCTCCACAAAAGTTTACGAAAAATTGAAAAGAAAACCATCAATATTGGGAGATGTTGCAATGAGTCTGGCAAGTGACAATGCAGTACTGAAGGGTTATTTCATCAATTCTCTGAAAATGAAACTTGGATCCAGTACTTTCCAAACACAGTACATAGCTCCCATTCATGATGAAATGATTTTAGGTCATGAAGTTTTACAAAATTTGGGGGTGATCATTGATATCAAAGCTGGTACTCTTGTAGTAAGGGGTGAAATGATTAAAATGACAGAAATGCCAAATAAAGATCAAAAACCAATTATAGCAAGGGTAGGACTAAGGGATTTTGAAAATCATTCCAGGTTAAGCAATGTGTCACATTTTGAATTTTCTTCAGGCAATTCCATCGACCAAATCAAAAAAGTGAAAGGGAGTAAAAGGATACCAGGTTTGTTTGAAGAGTTACATGATAAAACCAACGTCCCAGGTAAAGATCAAAATAGAAAGTCCCTCTATTCTGGCGAAAAACCTGTACCTGCTGATGACAAATTCCTGGCTGGTGAAGCTATGTCTGATAAAGTGAACATTGTCAGTGGTGCTTGTGATCACAATGACATCAGTTGTTTTGTATTTAAAGGGAAACTAGGGAGGTTTCAAGTTTTCAGAGAAATGGGCTATCCTAAAGGGAAGGGTAGATTAGATAAACTGGTGGTCATGTTGGAGGCAAAGTGGTCATTGCACGTTTTGCAAACACTTTTAAGTGCTACACATAGTTACAGAGGGACGGGACAATTGTTTAGTACTGCACAAACAAACATTTTCTCAAATGTTGGCAATTGGCCTTATGATCCTGGTGGGTTTTTGTCTGTTCTTTTTGTTGTAAGATGTCTTTGTCTGCATTGATCTTTCAGGGCTTCTGCAGCAAATTGTGATGTGTGTGGTCAGAATCAGACCTTGTGTTTGGATAATGACAATTGACACTCACAGGTGACAGGGGTCATTCTGCCAGCACAAGACGGAGCAAGTTTCTTGATTGCAATTAAATGACAGTAACACAATTTCAGCTTCAAGCTGATGCTGCTCGTGAGATTGTTTCCCTTTAGTTTAATATATTTTTATGGTCAGATGCTGATGTGTCTAGACCATATAGGATGTGTTGTTATCTCTTCAGTCTGTTTCCGTCATTGTTATCTTATATTCCTTTAAATTCTATTTATCGTCTGACATTGGTGTGTCTGGGCTGTATCATTTGTATCTTAATATTCGTTTGTTCAAGTTACAGTCGTTGTCATTTCTTCATGTTTTGTCGCTTTTACTTCATTTTGTTAATCAAATCCATGCTCTGTTTTACCATAACCCGACTTTGACATCCCGGATTTCTTATCGATATTTGTTTGTCATTGGTCTTTTGAACAGTTAAGTTGTATTGCTTCTACTCCAGTTGGTACACCTTGCTGAAGTGAGTATTGCTGCTGAATGTTGACAGATATTACAGTCACTGTGGTGAAGAAAAGGTATTCATGTTGATATTTTTCTGCAAATAAAGTTGAATGATAAAGTCACTTAACAAGGCATTACGGTTAATTGGAGTTTGGTAGCCTTGGTAACGAAAGTCATATCTTTGAAGTTGCTATTGCTGGAAATCTGCAATATGGACTTTATTCATCATCGTTGTCTTGTTAACTGTTATAAAGATCACTCTAACAAGTATTATTCTGGGTCTTCATTTAAAAAATCTTGCCTTTGTATAGTTCTTGATCTTGGTTTATACATTGTGTAATGAAATTCCAGTGATAGGACTTAACTTTTGGCAAGTGCAGAGATAACAATTATGAGTGACGTGAACGTTTTGGTTTGTATTTGAAAGCTTATTATTCAAGCTGTATGGTATATATTGGAATCCGGAATCCTTATTACCATGTTTATTAAGTGCAAGTGTCTATCTGGAATGTTTCTGAATGATCTGTAAAAAGGGGATATGTATGTTACTTCTGAATAAGAGCATTGAGGGACTGAAGTTTAGATGGAATAAGGATGTCTTAAGGTGATTGACAGGTGCATCAGAAAGTGGTCTAATTGCTCATGCGGTAGCAGGTAACCCTAATTTCAGAAGGTTGTTTCATGAAAGTTTATATCTCTGAAAGGTGTTTCATTTCTGTTGATTACAATTTAAACCCTGGAGATTGAATGGATTTTGATTAGTTGACTGTTATCTCTGTCTGGTAGCTTTATGTACATTTGGCCTTACTTTTTATTTAANCATGTTACTGCTGGATTAGAGCATTGAGGGACTAAAATTTAGATGGTTTAAGGATGTCTTAAGGTGAATGACAGGTGCATCTAAAGTGGTCTAATTGCTCATGCGGTAGCAGGTAACCTTAATTTCAGAAGGTTGTTTTATGAAAGTTTATATCTCTGAAAGGTGTTTCATTTCTGTTAATTACAATCTAAACCCTGGAGATTGAATGGATTTTGATTAGTTGACTGTTATCTCTGTCTGGTAGCTATATGTACATTTGGCCTTACTTTTTATTTAAAGGGGTAGGGATACTGGTTGTCTCTTTATGTGTGAAGTGAACTTGGATGATGGTACCGTAAGGACATGCTGCAGCCACTGGGATAATGTCTAGTTGCATGGTTTGGTTGTAGCCAGAGAAAGAGACTAAACGGTTATCTAACCAGTGATCTTAACCTATATGAGCAACATCTGTACTGTGGTTACCGTATAGTGTAACAGATTTATATTGTTGCACTCTAAAGAACAGAGTAGGAGATTTTACATCACTACACTTAGCTCATATGTGACAGATATTATATCGTTACTGAGCTTCAATCTTTAGTGATAGATCAAGAGTGTGTGACGCGTATGTCATGCAGATAATTGTCATACGACAGATATTGGTCCTTTACTGTCTTTGACTTTATCCTCTAATGATCATTCACTTGGATTGTAAATATTCCCAGAGTCACAGTGATGAATCAAGAGTGATGCCTGTGTGACAGTTATAATATTGTCATGCTGGAATGGCTGAAGCCATGAGATGTCATTCTCAGAATTTGTCAATTGTGTTCTCTGTATTACAGGAATCTTTTGTTTTGTTTTTGTAGATTCCTGTGTAAATAACTATTTTTGTCCATGCTGGAGTCGTTTTTGTTTTTGTAGACTCAGCCTTTGTAAATATGTAAAGTAATTTTGTTCATACTGGAGTCATTTGTTTTGTTTTTGGGGACTCCTTTGTAAATCTGTACATTTGTTTTTGTGTAAATGTCTTTTTAACTTGTATATATTTCAAGAATTTCAGGTGAGCACCGCTGGAATTACCAATGAACTGCGTGTATGATTCTATCAGGAAAAACTTGAAGTAAACTCATCTCTTTCAAATAAAGAGGGGAGGAGTGTTGTGATTGTGCCGGAAGCACTCCCCGAACTACGGAGACAAGCCTACACCACCTGGCGGGAGTGCAGTATTTTTTTAGACTAAGTGCAGTTCGAGCCTCGACGCGAGAGGGTGCGGACTCGCCTACACACCTTTCTACGACTACTGTATATACCCACACAGTTACACAAGGAGCTTCGACCTGTGAATACGGAGAGCGGATCTGGCGACGTAGAGCAGAGCTAAATAAGGACACTCGGTGCGAGGAGAGGACACACGAGCCTCGAACGGAAGACAGATAGCTCGCATAAACACTTTAATATAATGACAAAACATCTGAATAATTTACATATCTTGCTTTACCTTTGGTTGAATAAACCACATCTTATCTTCAAATCATGCCTCATGCAAATTGGAAAAATATATATATACTTACTGAAAAACTGTTTCACCATGCTGAAAGCTTGCGTTTGTGAAACGCTTCAACATCAGCACAGAAAAAAATCAAGTAGCCTCTCGGCGTTCTTAACTCAGCGATTCTCTCACAACTTCCTTAATGATTTTCGTATTTTCTTTTTTTTATGCAAAATCATCAAACCGAGTACCGACGAGGTTAAATCCCGGTATATTTCTCACGATGTATGTTTCTGTTGTTACAACGTGTATCTCTCGCTCACGTTTCTTTCGCCGGAAGTAGCGGAAGTTGGTGTTTTAAGTCGTTCAGCAGAGAAGAAAATAAATCCATTTCATTGGATGATTCCATGAAAAACAAACGTGCAGGAGGGCAGGCAAAACTACTGCAGAGAGTGAGTTTTAAATTAATTTCATAAATCCTGGTAAACTACTTTTTATTGATCATATAATTTTAATATGACATTTGTAACATTAAAATCAACTTATTTTTGGAATAATTTGTAAAATTAAGGCAAATGTTTTTTATGTTTTTGCTCGGTAAGAACTAGATTCTCCTCGTGCCAACTTCCGTGTGGGAAAGTTGGCAAACAAACCTTAGTCACACTACTACTGTAGTAGTTATGTTACCACAGCATCCGTTGACTTAACGGTAATGTTTCTTTCTCTTTCATGTTTCATTTATTTAAAAATTAAAAAATAACACAGCTGCTCACATTTTATATTCTCGATATATAGTCTGATACTAGTGCTTTGATTTACTTTTTTAAATCTCATTTTTACTGTAACTTAGTTGTATGGGAGCGTCCACATAAACTCGTCGTCGATCTAACTCTGGGGGGGGGGGGGGTTGATTCTCGCTAAATTGCATTCAGTGTAAATGGCTTAAATGTCTTGCACGCCTACTCAAGCTACTAGGGGGTAATTAATGTAATTAAGTGTATTTCAGAAACATGTTATTGGTAAAAATGATTTGTCAAGTCTAGTTCTATCAGTTTTTATCACAAACATGACTTAGTTTTTAAATTGAATAATAAGCTAGTCCCTTTCTTTTGTTATTGGTGAAAAAGTCACATGCAACCACTTTATTCCAGAGAGTAACGTGCCTGAGCAGGTACCCAAAACATGTTGCTAATTAAATTACTATACATTATAATTAAAGGTTATTTCTTGCTGGCAATGCGAGTTGAATATAATTTTTTAACAAATTATCCTTTTAGGTTTTTGCCAGTATTATATTATGCAGAGGTTCAGTACAAAAAAAAAAGAAAAGTTATTTGTTGCATTTTCAGCCTTAGGTGTAAAATGTTACAGGCAGCCAGGCATTTAATTAATTCAGATATAATGCAGACATGCCTGAGCATACAATAAAAAGTTAAGTGTGTTTTGGTCCTGATTCAGACTAGTTGTAAACATTATCACCTGGCTTTGGAGAATACAACCCATCTGGCATGTGGTATAACTGCATCCTTTGAAATACAATATACATTCTTCTTAATTTTGAAACCTTGATGAAAATTCCCTGACTAGAAAGGGGCCTTTTTTTTAAATAATCATTAAAAAAACTATGAGGAAGAATAACAATGTGATGGGTGGGGGTGGATGGTGTTTATGAGAGCAACAAGGCAGATGGTGTATCTATGCAGATTATATATATTTCATAATTTTGAAAAAAAAGATGGGAGAATAACATTGATAAAGATATATAGAGATAACCCTTGTCACATGAGGCGTTGAAAGCTAGCACACAAATAATATCTTTCACTGCCAGTTTTTTCCCCTGCTGCCAAGCAGTGAGACAGCACATCCCGTTTATGAAGGAATAGTATGTCCCAGATCAGGGTCGACTCCATTTCCTTCTGAACTGGAAGGAGACACATAATCACAAGTCCATCCAGTGGCAGTCAGTCATTGAAAATATTAATAACTAAAAAAAGGTACATAACTTTTTAAGTTAACTTGTTAATTTTCATTTGTTAAAACAAAGGCAAAAAACATAACCTGGCTCTCAGCAGAGGCAATAATATTATTATTAATATTATGATATTGTTTAAAATCCAAATATATTCTGTAGACTTATTGATGTAAAATACAAGTTAAAGAAAGTCATTATAATTGCATGTTGCCATAAAAAAAGGGAAGGGCCATTTAATGTTAAAAATGTATAAAAAAAAAAGTCACAGGTGGTATATAACTAAATATCCTTTTGCAGAAAATTTGTTTACTTCCCCATTCACAACCTCATTAAGTCAATCTTCCTGTTTAAATAAGGGTTCAGACATTTAACCTTGTCACCTAACTTGATTACTGTTTGTCAGATGTGTCCCGCCAAAATATGTACCTTGCCAAACTAGGAAAATCTCTGGTGTTTACTCTATTGATAACTGCCAAATCACATCTCTTGGTTCAAATTGATTTTTTCAAAGGGACTTCCAAATAATTACTTGAAGTGCTAAACAAAAGTTTTAGAGACATGATGACTAAGAAGTTAAAATGATTGGTGGCATATTTTTTCCAGCATGCAGTCAGCCATATTTGTAAGGCTGTGTACACTGCAAGCCTAGCATTTAAATCTTTCACATACCAAACCATTCTTTTTTACTACCCCAAAACAAGTTATTTTATCTGAATACTTGTTTTATAAGGTACACATTTTGCAGGACAAACTCCAAATTTGCTTCTTTCCATTCTCGCTAATCACCAGACAACCTATTTTTTTGGCAGACAGGAGTTTGGGAGGGGTATGGGGTTATCTTGTCGTGTCCTCAGATAAGGTCCCTCATGCTGATTAGCAGCACTCTTTGTTCTTGGAAAATGGGGAAGTAGGAATAACTAATACCAGTGAGTAATATATTGTTTTCCTGTTTTCTTAAATTACATGTACAATATTTTAGCTTTGTATTTTGGTGATGATGTTTATTAATCATCATTTGCAGTGAAAATGGGGCACGGATGCTATCAAAAAACAGTAAGCACTATGACTATATTTATACCTTTGACTTATTTTTTTAGGTTTACCAAACTGGCATGTTATTAACCAGTAAAGACCTATGTTACCACATCTGGTATAACATGGATACGTAGTGTGAGACAGATATATATCTACTATGACCTGGACGCAGTATGACTTGTACTGTTAAGACAAGGATACACTGATGGCATCGTATCGACAGGATGTAACAGCCATGCCGCCACCCCCACCACTACCAAGACACACCCACCACGCTTATTTTGCTCACCATGAAGATGAAGAATCTTTCCTCAGGTGTGTCCTGTCCGTCCTCACAGCCCTGGGGTACAAGCACATCCACACTGGTCAGTGTCGAGCAGGGGCCAACAGGTTTACCTTCTGCACGGACTCTGTCTTCAGTGCCAAACATGCGGTGGTTTGTTTGAGTCCTCAGTACCTCAGGGACGGATACTGTCGTTACCAGACAGACCAGGTCCTGTGTATAAAGGGGGCCAACAGGGTGATATGTGTCCAGCTCAGGCCTTGCAGAATACCAAGGGAGCTACGACACTGCTATGTGCTTCCTGGGAGGGATGTGACCAGTGCTGTGAAGGCTTTGATAAGATGTCTGGTTAACCCACGATGTAAGTGTGTGATTGAGAGAGAGAGAAAAAGAGAGAGAGAGAGAGAGAGAGAGAGAGAGAGAGAGAGAGTTGCCCAATATGTGGAAAATCTTACAAAATTCAAAAATATTGGTGTTTTTCTGGCATTTTTTTTATGAATCATTTTCCCCAAAAAATTTTTTTAAGTTGATGATTAATTATACCAAATTCATAAACTTGGAATAATGTGCACAGTAACAGTAAGATTATAGCTGTTGTGGCACTGGTTCTACAAATTTAACTAGAAAACCACTCCGAGAGCCCAGACCTCCCCCAAGGCAGCAAAGTCTCCACCCAATGCCATTTCACCCCTAAGTTTTCATTCTATAATGATTTAGTTTTTTATTTTTGATTATTGATTGATTATTGATCCAGATTACCACCAGAAACCAATCATCTGTTCCTTGGCCCACTCCTGACAGTTCCTGAATATTTCATCAAAATCGATCCATAACGTAGTTTTTATTTTTGATTATTGATCCAGATCACCACCAAAAACTAATCACTTCTAAATAAACCCATTTCTGACCTATCCTGAAAATTCAATTGAAATTCATCGATAACTTTTTGAGTTATGTTGATGACAAACAGACAGACAAACAAACAAACAAACAGGGGTGACAACATAAACTCCTTGGCGGAGGTAACTAGAAAAGCACTCAGAGTGCACAGATCTCCACCAAGGCAGCATAGTTATCATTGTTAATTAATTAATGTACCATTACCAAAATCTAAAAGTTAGCCAGCCCATTTCCTCAGGACTTGTTTTAAAAATTTAATAAAGTCTGTGTATGGTTTTTTGAGTTCAGCTGTTAACTACCAAAGGAAATAACACAATCCCAATTTGGCTGAGGTAAATGATAAATCAAACAGCAATTGCAGTAAAAAATTATCACATCTGTCCTTTTCAGTTATAAGGAGGAGAAGAGGGATGGGATGCCTTTCAAATGTCTATGGTGGAATGAAGGCTTTGGCCAAGGTGCTATGTAAGTATTGCAGCTGAGCTTAGTCTTTCATATTTTCAAACATGATATTTTTTTCTGATTGATTTCAATGTGGCCCTTGACTCCCAGTGGTTTTACAACTGAGATCTCTCTCTCTCTCTCTCTCTCTCTCTCTCTCTCTCTCTCTCTCTCACACATATAATATTATATAATAGAGAACAGATCTTTACAGTATATTATATTCCCTGCCCTCAGGCTGCAAGTCCAAGAGGAAGGCCAGACAGGCACTTGCAGAAAAATATTCCATACAGAGACAGTACCAGAAGGGGGCCAATACCCCAGTACGGTGTGCCAACCACCCCTGTTCCCACACCTGTAAGGCCAAGGAGATTTGTTTTCACCTGAGGCAGTGTCCATACCAGCTGGTCAAATGCCCTGGTGCCCAGTGTCCAGTACAGGTGCAGCGGCACAATCTGGGCAGTCACGTCAACAAATGTCCGTTCTCAGCTTCGTTCAGTGGAAATGGGACTAGAAACAGATGTAATTTGCAAGAAACTGCCGTTGTAAAAGCAAAAATTTCCAGCTTTCAGTGCGGAGTCTCTGGAGCCACTTTTAGACAGGTTCTCAAACGCACGAGGAAAATTCCAAATGAGAGAAGGTTCAGGCATATTCAGAAGGTGCCATGTATTATCGCAGAACACATCAAGGCCATTGCCATGGCAATACGTTCTGTAGCTAAAAGAGCTATGAACATGGATAATAATGAGAAGAGCTCCGATTTCCCGAGTGACGGTTTATATGAGATAACAACGAGAAACTTGACATTTTCTCCAACCCTCTGCCCTAATCCAAACTGTGGGGAGATCGTTCAGAAGTCCCAGTTATCACATCACCTGACCTCATGCCATTTCACCCCCCTCCCTTGTCCTTTTGATGGGTGCAGTTTGAAACAGGAGCATCTTCCGCGTCATGAACTTGTTGAACATGTGCGTGTGTGCAGCCGTGCAGATGTGCAGTGCGCATGTGGAGCCTTGGTGCCGAAGTTGGAATTCATGCGCCATCACCAGTCTGTCTGTCCTGCTAGAAACGTGAAGTGTGCGCTGTGTAAGAAGATGGTAGACAGGTCAGGGTTTTATGTGAAATGTTGTTTCTGAAATAAAAAATAAATTCATGGTTATGATCTGCATTAACAAGCACAAGGGAAAAGCTACAATGTAGTTGAGACAGTTAAACTTCATCTAATTGTGTTGAAATAGTCTTGCCAACTTTATACACGCACACATACAGATTTTTTTTAAATTATTTCATAATTGTAATATCTCTGTAAATTGCTCATCTTGAGGCAAATATAATATCTTATTCAGGACAATTTAAGTTTTTGGATGTTTGAATTCATTTTAATTCTCAGTTTATTCTGTAAAATATTCTTGTTCTTCAGATTTGAAATGGGTAACCACAGAAGACATCAATGTCGCCAGCGTCTTGCACTGTGTCCATACTGTGGTCAGTTGCTGACCATGGCAAAGTATGTGTCCCACCTGGCAGAGGAACATCTTTATGATGATGACACCGGCACAGAAAAGGTAGGTAGATTTATGTTTGAGGTCTGGAAATCATCCAAGTGTCCATTCAGTACAGTGGACTAACAGATCTGCAGATCAAATATGGCCAACCCACTTGTATGCTTGTTGCGTAATCCCTTAATCCCTGCCTAATTCCGGGAAATCAATTGGGTGTCTAATCGGAAATTAAGCAGCAAGCTTTTTAGTGGGTTGCTATATTTGATCTGCGGATCTGTTAGCCTGCTGTTCTAAATGTCCCCCAAGACATGCCTGTATGCTAAAATGGGAAAATTCACAAGTTGCATATTTCACATTTTTGTATGTATCCAATGCCCAGTTACCTGTGCTGAGTAAAAATCAGATTAATTATTAGTTTACCCATAATTAGATATCTCACTCTCACTCTCTGTTGATTTTAAATTTGGTTCTTAACCAAGCATTTCTACTACAGGAAACCCAGGAAATAACTACGTCCACTGCTCACAGTGCAAATATTATTTCCCCTAAGCAAAATCATTGTAAGTATGTTGATTGTATTCAAATAATTTCTTTAGAAGAATATTTAACCTCACAAACATGTAATAACTTTATTATATTTAATATATTTAAGATTGGTATTTTAAGACTATTTTTATTATTGAAAAATTTATCCCCTCTGTTTTTGTGGATGCATGCTTCAAAACCACGGAATGTGTAAACATAGTTTTACAAAAATCTTTGATTTTCAAGCATCACAGTTTTTGCCACTATTACATTTGCACAGGGACCACAGATCAACAGCAGTGCATACAGCCACCTGTCGTTAACAGTGGGTGCAAAGTTCAAGATGAATCTGAGGATGCCACGTGGGAAGAACTCGTCCAGCTCACAACACATCCAAACCTGTCAAATGTTCGTCACCTTCGTCAAGATTCCGCAGGGAAAAACAAGATTCCACATGACACAATGAAAAACATATTGGGTGTTCCTAAAAATGTGCATCAGTTCTCCAAGTCAGGGGACCCTAATGAGGAAACAACAGCTGGATTTCAAGAGGGTACCTGTCTATGTGACCCGATGGGCTCTTCAAAATTTGTGCCAGAATTTGAGGGGTGTAAGTCTGTCGGAAATGCACCAGGTGTTCCTGGTAACTCTGCCACAATTTCAAAGGGCAACACACAGGGAAGGGAGAACAGAGAGAGAGATGGTCCTAGCTTTAGAGGTGTGGGTGTCACAGAAACGGTGGGCAAGGAACCTCAAGATGTGGACTGCGAGGCACACTGTGGTGCCATACCAGAAGATAGTACAGAACCACAGTTTGGTGAGTGTCGGCTTGCTCCAGACCCGGAGTCATCCTACAAGGCCAACGTTCATGTTGAGAAAGCAAGACAGACTTCTTCGGCTGGGGCCAAGACAAGCTTTCCAAATGGCACAGTGTTCACAGGGACCGGGTCAGATAGCAACATGTCAATTATAGACACAAGTAGAAGGGATGGTGAGACTGCCACAGGGACCAGGACAAAGTGCAGTATAGCTGGGACAGGGGCTCATATATTAGACAGCGAACATGGCTTAGCAAGTGAGACCAATCGAATTGAATTCAAAGCCCCATACATAGACAAAAAATTATCTATGCAGGTCAGAGATGCAAACGGGAGAACTTCTCCAGAGAAAATTACAGGCAAAACAAAGGGTGGGAATTTAATAGTGGAAGTTGTTGAATCAGAGCAAGCAAGTAAAAGTAGTACCTCAGCAACTGAGCTCAGTTGGAGGCAAAGTGGAAGCTACACTATAATAGGTGAAGTTAGAATGGACAATAAGAGTTGTCAGGTGGTTGTAGATGAAGATTTCTTGGACTTGGGTGAAAGTGAAGTTGACAGTGATTATCACGCTGAGATCACAAATTTCAACTGTGCAAACGGTGAAGTTGCAATGGTTTTAAAGCGTAAAAGTTTGTCAGCCATAAAGAACCAAAAGAGCTGGAGCTTTAGCACCAGCGATGACTTTGTGACGAAGAATGTCCGAGAGGTTTCAGATCATCTGCCAGCTGCTTCAGACGGTTACAATGAATTAGACCCTTGCTGTAGGAAAGAGACTGAGTCTAATCATGATTTGGCCAGTGGAGACAAGGGTTTCGACCAAGAAGAGGGCTTTGTTCTTGTAAGTCCCGAGGATTTATCAGATTTCCCGGAGCGAGGAAACAGCATAACCATGCCAAAGAATTGCTTTTTGAAACTTTTTGGTAGAAAAAATAAGGAAACAAAAGCAAGAAGTCAGAGCTGCCCTGTCAAGAACAAAGGTATTTTGTTTGTTCGCACAAGTAAATTCAGTAGAAAGATTGTGAGGTGTTCAAGTCAATTTTGGAATTTTTCTTGTAGTACTTTGAACATGAGACAATAATTCTTCCTTTATCATATCTTCTGAAAGGCATTGCTGTATATTATTCCACAAGATGAATTATTGTGTTTTAACAATTGAAATTCACACAGACTGCAATTTTGTATTTGCTGGAACAGTGTAATGATATTTACTTAATTTCATGATTACTGACAATTTATTTTATATTTCAGAACCAGTTCACGTCGAGTCCCCAAGAAAGTTTCAAGGATTTAAAAGTCTTTTCCGAGGAAATCTTTGCCCATTCAGTTTAAAAGACACCATCGACCACCTGTATGAAAAGAGCTACCTGACCTTGAAAGAAAAAAAGAAGTTTGAAACACATGCCAAAAAAGTCAAAACCTTGCTCTGCCCACTGGACGAAGCCCTGTACCGTTCAATAGAGTACCACAATCCTGATTTATTCGGTGTGGTCCAAGATGTCATCAAGGCTTTTCAGGCTGGGAACCTGGATAGAAATATCACCTTTTTTGAACACGTGTGTGAGCGTTATGCAGTGATTTTCAAGCGCAGGCGGAAGCAGAAGAAAGATGGCGGTCAGTTAACTTTTTCGTCAAATTTCTCATCACAGCAGTCATGTAATGAAAAAGCCTCTCAAAAAGTTGCAGATGAGGTGCTTCCCCCAGGCGTGGCAGAGTGCTTGTTTCTGAACAAAAATTTGAAGCATGGTTTGTAATCAGGATGGAGACAAGATAAAATTCTTCCCTACCCAAGTTCTTGTTCTGAGGAGCGAGTCAGCTTGTAACAAATATAGCTGCTTAATTTTAATCATGCAAATCAAAGACTTTTTTTATTGTTGTCATTTTATCAAACTTAATGTACCATAATTGTTGATTATTTTAGATGTTATAACACTTGAAAAGTGTTTGGTGATTAATAATTACCTCTCCCAAGGAGCTTATCTTTGTTGTTCCATTTGTCTGTCTGTAATCAACATTATGGAAATAGTTATGTAAGGATTTTGTTGAAAGTTTCTGAAACATGGAAATGTACAAGTAGCAAAGATTTAGAAACTGGTGGTGTCTATACACCGATTAATTAGTCAGTTAATAAAAATGAGAATTGAGCTTCCTTGGCGGAGGCCGACATTCTCCAGGTGCTTTTTTAGTTGATTTTTATATTATTGAAGATATTATGAATGCTACACGTTAACATTTTATAAACCATTTTAAAAACCCAGTCAAAGTTCTTGTATTTGATTTTTGAAGGTTATGGTAGTGTTAGATTATTTTAAAATTATTATATTAAGTTGGGGTCAGTACTGATAGTGTCTGGTGAGGAGTTTGTACCTCTGCCTTTTAAAACTCATCTTGTTGTTTAGTAATAGTAATTAGTAATAGGTTGGATCTCATAATTTTTGTTATTATTTGTCAAATTTTTTAATCTAAGCAAAATGCAAATGAGAAAAATATGTTTATTGATAGATATAAAAAGCTGTATGGAATTAAGATGGAAAACTTGCATATGTCTTTACATATATATATAGAGAGAGAAAGAGAGACGTAGTAGTGAAGTACAGTTTGTGATTTACAAAGGGGTTAAAATCCTAAGACATTAATATGGTGAGTCTGTGGGTAATTTTGACATTTTGTCTCTTTTACAGACAGTCCTTTAAAATGATATTTACTCTGGGTAACTTCATATTTTGGTTTTCTTCACCCCAGATGTGTTCATGAAGTATAGCACAGGTACTGAGCCTAGGCCCCCTTTATTTACTCTGGATGGCGTCCTTTCTCGCTGTGTTGTATGGCCCCATTTGAGAGTTTTAAAAATAAAACTTTACATGCCAACAACTGGCTGATCATTGAGCATTCATTATGCAACCAAAGCAATGCTTGTGCCTCCTTTCTACAACCACAGCGATGCCAGTTTTTATGGTCACTAAAAGGATGCAGGAAAGATGCTGTTCAGTGTAAAGGGGGTTTTACCTATGCCCCTATTTTAGTGTCCATTGAAAAGTCCAATGTTTGGCTTATTACTTTATGTGTACTTTGTACAAAAGAGACAAAATACCAAAATCATCAGAAAACCCAAGGCACTGCCTTCTTGGGAGTTCAACCCCTGCGATATAAGATGATAAGTTCAGACACTTAGGAAGCAAATTAAGAGTGGTGCAGTCAACTACATGTATATGAAAGAAGAAAAGTGCATACTTTGGGGTTAGGAAAAACATCAGAAGTTTCTTATTGCCAAGACACCAGTCAATAAGAAACTTCTGATGTTTTTTTTCTAAGGTAATATAAATTTTCTGTTCACACCCAGTCACTTTGATTTGAATATATGGGTTTAGGAACTTTGGGGGGCTTTTACCTCCATCTCTCACATACATACACACACTTTGTAACCATGTCAGTCAAAAGTGCAGGAAAGAGGGGACAAAGGGACCCTTCCTACTTCTTTAACCCCTCCCCCCCCCCCCCCCAGCCTTCCCTTCCTGGCCCCTTTGGCTGAGTATCAAATAAAACTGACTGGGTGTGAACAAATAATTCAATATAAAATGAATAATTATAGTGTCATGTGAATGGTGCTCCTCGTGATTTATTCGAGCATTTTTTTTACTACAGTGGAACTTCTTGGCTTCAGAAAATATTATGCCATGATATTTACTTGAATTTGGCAATAAAGTTATATTTTTCATTGCTTGTCCTAATATTTAATTTTTATATATTTTATAATGTAAAAATTTTTTTAATGAAATTGCACTGTAATTTTAAAGTAAAATATGCTTCAGTTACAAGTAAAACATTTGTTTTCTGTGGCCATAATATTAAAAGAGCAATTTTATGGGATTTGCCACCAAAATGGATTTTCCCGAGGAAATAATCAATTTTCTCATACTCGTGATTCATTTATCTGTCCTTTTCTGAACTTGGATTCGACCCTTAATTGAATTTATATAGCTTGATTTATTTTTAAATGATTGACCAGTCATTATAACCAGCGACCATCACCCTGTATGCTCCTATGAAAATATCAACATCAAGTACGACCCAGAAAGAAGTATTTAAGGGGCTAAATCGTTTTTAAGGTGTATGTAAGTTTCTAAGGAGGCGCTCTAGATGGCAAAAATAAGCATATGGGGAAATTTCAGACCAGTGGAATATACCTTTAATTTATAATTTCAAAAGAAAAAATGAGAAAAAAATCTTTGAAAGAGTAAGAAGCAAAAAGAGACTGCAGGTAATTTTCTATAAAAAAAGTTAATCTTTGTGACCCACACCCCAGGCAAAATACTTTCGCCAGTTGATACGTACCACTTGACCTGGCCCCGCTTGTCACACATCTGCAGTATGGAAAATCCGCACGTCTGTTCAATCTAACAATCGGGAATTCCCTGGCTTTATTTGCATGATCTATTATTAGTAACAGGGATAAATCCCCACTGTGATTTCCAATTATATAATAAAACGGCGTCACCTGACAAGTTTATAACTGTATAGTCAACTAAGTCACCCGGACAGTGTGAGGTAGCTCATTTAGACAGTAAATTATTAATGACAATCGAAACTATTAACACCGGGGCGACGAGTAAAATGTAACATGATTTCCGACAATGCAGGGGCGGATCCAGGATTATTTAAAGGGGGGTCTACGGATGAACAGTGATGAACAGTGCCATTAGGTACGGTTTAGAACTATGATTCAGGTAGTCAAAATTCTAATTTAAAGAGGGGTCTATTGGTGTGATTTTTTTTTCAGAAATTGCAGGGGAGGGTCAGGACCCCCTGACACCACCACCGCCTAAATTCGTCACTGCAGTGTGACAATTTAGTAAACGAACTCGACCCACGTTACTTAGAGAAAATGAAAAAATGCACT